TCTGTTTTTTCGTTATCCAGCTGTCGCACCCCTACAATCGACAACTCCCAGAAGTCAAAACTTGTGCGAGCTAAAGATTAACGAGGTCTCACCTTCTAACGAGTGATTCCTAACAGACCAATCTCCATCATATGCAACTTTGGTGAAGTTTCATGAAAGTACGTTCAACCACCACAATCACTCAATGTTTTGGAGGGGGTATTGATTGTCAGTCTCAGACTGATGTCATCAACACTGATTTATCCAAAGCGTTCGACATACTTGACCATAGTATCCTGCTCAACAAGCTTTCGATTTTTGGGTTATCCAATGAATTGATTACCCTTCTCGAATCGTATTTTCACAACCGTAAGCAGTATAGCCACAAGGATCAAATCTAGGACCCCTACTGTTCAATATGTTCATTGATGATATCGGAGTTGAGATTGATGTCAATTTCCCTTTTATACGCAGATGACTTGAAACTCTATCATAATATAACATGTTCTAATGATTGCGAACGTCTCGCCCTGAATTGAAATCGCGTTGCTACATGGAGTCGGAAGAATAATCTATCTCTCAACATATCCAAATGTACTGTAATATCTTATTCACTGAAAACGAACTTGAATTTACACAACTACGTCATAAACAATCAAGTTCTGGAGCGTCCTGACACACTCACTGATCTAGGTGATACTTTTGATTCATTCCTCTCTTTCAATAAACATATTGACACTACACTACAATCTCCAATTTATACAATGTGCGATACTTCTGATTATGTTAGTCATGTCCTAGAGATATATTCAACTGCCAGATTATACGAATCAGTAGATAGTTGTCCTGAAAATCTAGAGAAGAATATTGGATTGGATAATTTAGGAAACACTTGCTACATGAATAGCATTTTACAAGTGTTGTTCATGACGAAGAATTTCAAGAAAGAAGTTTTAATGATGAACGAGAACGGAAATGTTTCCTACTTATTCATCTAACTCAAACAACTGTTCATGCAGCTGCAGTTTCGTAAGAAGGTATCATCTTTCCCTTCAACCGATTTCCTGGAGTCTTTGAAATCCACTAGATACTCGTTAGGACAACAAGAGAATTGTTCCGAATTCTTGGGGTTCTTGTTGAATACTCTTCGTGAGCAAAACAATAGCAAAATCAATACTCCTGACCGCTCTGTACTGAATGATTCCGTTCAACCCATCTCGTCTTGTGTTTGTAAATCTTTTGCTGGAAAAATCCTCACTTNTGTCTAGTTGGAGCGGGGGAGCCAGGCTCCAGATCCTGAATGGTTCTGACGGTGTGTTCGGAACCTTCAGTGGAACTTTCATTATTTAGTTGGTTTGGACTGATGTCCATTTCATTGACTTCATTGTTAGTAGTTTGAGATGTGGCCACCTCGCGTGCCCGACTTCTCGTAACTGGACGAGACGAAGCTTCTGACTCGGAATAATAATTCCGAGCCTCAGATTTAACATTGTCTATAACTGCCTTTTTGGAAATTTTCTTTAATTTCCTAGGCTTTTCTTTTCGGATCCACTCGTTTACCTTGCGGCTGGACACGTCCGGGAGTGGAGGAAAATCTTCAGTAAATCTTCTTTTCTTCGAATTGGAGGAGAAAGAAAAGTTACTTTCGTTGTCTGATTCTTTAAGTGAATTCTCACTTTCAGTTTGGGCATTAGCCACTCCCTGATTTTCATCCGTCAAAATTTGACGGCTGACCCCAGGGACTGGCAATGCACTGCCATGCAAATCCGACTGGCTTAGGCCGAAGCACGAGATCAATTGGCATACAATGCTAACAATCTCGGCTTTTTCCCTGCCAGCCAGACCACGAAGCAGTTCCTCCATACTGCTGTGAGGTATTTTTATCGGAAATTGACGTTTATCTGACGTGAGCACAATGAACAATAACGAAAAGGATAAATTCAAACGTACTCACCAGAAGTGTTGGGGGTTCTTGCGCACTATAACACGCACACAACTAGCACGAGAGAACTTCAACCGGTGGTTGACTAATCATCAACTGTAACACCAAAAATTAACGAAATTTTTCGCAGCGAAAAATTAAACTTGTCACTTTGACAGATCTCAATGTGACATTATTGTATTGAAAATCGGAATCCTTTCGAAGTATTTCATTCCTCTTCCGAAGTTGGAGCGAACATCACAAAGTGTCACTCCATCTAGTGGACGAGGTATTAACCAACTGCATATCCGTAATTTGCCCGATTCCTCTGCATGAGGAAGAAAAACTTTCTTATTAGTCAGTGAGCTATGCTTGAAGACTGGCAATAAACAAAAAAGCGAATGAACTTCAAACGTTCAAGCCAGTCTCGATATACCTACACAGTAGATTCAATGGACTGACGCCTATCAGAAAACAACTATTCCCCTGGCTTTTTGTCGGCTCCAGCTTCCTAGATTCGCCTAGGGTGATCCTGGAAAGACTGCATCCTACGATTCCATCCTATCTCTGTAGGGATTGAGCATGGGTGTGACGTTTGGCTAGTTCCACAATTGTCGAAGTCATTAAGCAGTAGGTGCCACTGGGTCCTTCAATTCTTAATCCAGCTGCTTCCTTGGCTGAAGAGTCGGCAATGCGGTTACTATTGTCGTGCCCTTTAACACACCTCAGGATGATGTTATTATCTACCGAGGCTTTGGCTGAATCTTGGTGACACTCTAATACTAGCCACGAGATAACACGTTGTCTGTTCATGTTTGATAGTCCAGGACCGCACCGCAGGAAGGTTGATAGGATGATAGATAGTAGATAGCTGCCTTGCGAACATCCTGCTATTTATAAATGTGAGTAACAGAACGACGGTACCATCTAACCTCCAGAAAACATCCGAAGGTACCCCAGGCGTATATCAAATCTAATCAGTCGTGTTTGACATTCCAGCCGGGTAGCCTAGCTATGAAGGAAAGCGTAATGAGTTATATGTACAAAAGAAGGGCAATTTGGGACCCAGCAGACCCGTTAAGGAAAAATTCAAAAATTTTGATGACACTGCTGATATAGCTTCTCTGAAGTTTGTTGAAGTTCTTTGCAATTTTCATNAACGTCCTCCTTTCCCAAAAATTAATCACTCCTAAAAAATATAACCCCTCCAATTCAGTTAATTTCTATATTAACATATTTGGATGCCGGAAAATGCGATTGAATAGCGGAAAAAGTGTGGCGGATTTGAAAATGTTCAAGGGGAAATCTCAGATTGAAGTGAGTTTTTCCAATAACATATATTTTCCGATGACCACACTTGATAATGAGCTAATGATTTCCATTCATCAATCACTTGGGAACAATAATCGTGGAGTAGCGAAAACCCCACAATTTTGGCTTGAATCAATTTTCCAAATAAAATTTGGGTGACCGCTCGTCCACCATCCAATTATCCGGTTTTGACGTGCCTTTATACGCGCGGGTAAAAATCGGATAAAAATTAATCATTCAATTTTCCAGAGGATTCTCCCAACAGACTGATCCCATGAAATATTTTTTTCCGATTCCGGTTTAATTGGGATAATTTGGTTAATGAACCAGCTTCTATCGTGATTCAGTTGAGCGGTAAGCAAAAAAAATTAATTTGTGTTGATTACCTCATCAAATGTTCCGGTATTGAACAGAAATGATGTAATCGAATAAAGGCGATAATGAAGTCGGTTAACTTGTTGAAAATATTCATATTGCTCGCCCATTCAAATTTTTATTATTTTATATACAGTGTGTCTCACTTCTCATGGAAACACCCCCGTATCTTCCGTAACATTCGAGGTAGAACAATGAAACTCTCTGGACTGATGTAGAAGCTTCATGCACCTACCACCTGAATGGAGTCGGTCAAAGTGATATACACTGTCCACCACTCGCGATGGAACACCCCATTTTTATGGTAAAACATATTAGGGGGCAAAATAAGCTCAAAATTCCTTCAGATTCGTGATCAGGACTACCAACTTACTACGATTACAGTTTTTTCCTTTTTTGCTTCTCTCTTCCCTAATAATTGAAGTAGATTTTTTTTTGGTTTTTACATCAAAACATGAACGAAATTGTTCAAGAGAAACTCGACTTTTGTTTTCACAAAAATGAATTATTTTTTATTGTCAGGAAAGTTATTCCTTCTCAATAAGAGAGAAAATGGTAATTTTGTAAGAGGAATGGAAACATGTAATCAGTGAGGTTTTCGGATGGTTAATGTTAGTTCATATTCTCATTTTCCCATTATTTAAAAAAAAAGAAGCCATTTTTGGATGGAAATTACCATAATCGCTGGATTGGGAGAGCAGGCCCACATCCATGGCCACCTCGCTCGCCCGAAATGAATCCCTTAGATAATTTTCTCTGGTGACACCTTAAAGCGTTGGTATATAAAACTGCTATTCAAAGTGAAGAGGATTTACGGAACAAAATCATTAATTCATGTGACATAATAAAAAATGCGCTAGGTATTTTCAGAAGAATGCAAAATTCAATAATGCGACGGCTAGATGGTTGTATTGAAGCCGAAGGAGGCCACATCCTACACTTAATTTATTGCAATTCGTTAGTCTAGATGTTAATGTTATTTAATATTTGTTGTTATTCTCACATAATTGGTGATGAAAAATTGTAAAAATCATAATTTCCAAAAGAAACATTGAATTCCCCATATTATTCCGTGTGAGGTCCAGGGATATGCAATTACATCGCCTTTTTTTTAAAAACTAAGCAAGATACGAAAAAATAAACCCATCATCAAGCAAAAAATGGCCAACTCCCGCCAAAACGGTCATCTCCCACGGAACCAGTGAAGCAGAAAATGGAAAGCGTTCTATTTTGACTTGTATTTTATTTCACTATTATTTCATTTCAGTTTTATTTTGCTTAATATAATTGTTATTTTCAGCTATTCATTTTCAATTCTTCTTTTTTAGTTGTTTCAGGGACAATGGAAGTCCAAACTAGTGAAATTCATCATGAAACATTGTCAATCACTTTCAAACAATATACAGGGTGTTAATTGAGTATGTATCATAAATTCGACAGACGATTATTTAGGTAATTTCAAGACAAAATGTTCATACAAACATGGGTACGCAAATCCTTCGCTCTCAAGATACAGGGTGTTGAAATAAAAATTAAAAAAAAGTTATTCGTGAATATCTTAAATTTCCTTCACCTAATTTTGTTGTAATTTGACAATGGTATTCATAACATTAGAGAGCTGATTTAGTATGAAAGGGATTCGAATTATCAAGTCCAGTGGCGTCTCGAGCGGGATTTGAACGAATATTGTTGACTTAAAAATGTACGCCACTGACTTTTGTGCAGTTTTCATCATTTCCATCATTTCTTTGGATTGAGCAATTAGAAATACAACTTTTTTGTCTCGTGAATTTTTTTCGTATCTTGCTTAGGTTTTAAGAAAAAAAAGTCGACCTAATTGCATATCCCTGGACCTCACAAGGAATAATGTGGGCAATTATATGTTCCTTTTGGAAATTATCATTTCTACAATTTTTCGTTACTAATTATGTAACAATGGAAACGAATATTGAATAACATTAACATCTAGACTAACGAATTGCACTAAATCAAGTGTTGGAAGTGGCCTGCTTCGGCTTCAATACAACCGTCTAGCCGCCGCATCATTGAAAGGATAAGATAAGGATAAGATATTAAACAAAAATTTTTTCAATTTTTATTTCAACGCCGTGTATCTTGAGAACGTAGGATTTGCGGACCCATGTTCAAATGAACATTTCGTCTTAAAAATTATCTAAAGAATCGTCTGTTGAATTTATCGTACATACTTAATGAACACCCTGTATATCATTTCAAAAAGCTATTGTATTGGTACACCATCGTTATTCATACAATTATCATGTTTACTCATTTGTACACTCTCACAGGCATCTAGATGCCTGTTGTTGTTCACTTGTCTAACTAATCTTAATGAACTGAAGTCTATGGAATGGTTTTGTTGCAGAAGATGATGGGCGACTGCTGAGTTTTCTGGTCTTCCATATTTTAGGTGTGCCAAGTGTTCCTTATATCTTATTTTATTAGATTTTTTTGTCTGAGCATGATATTTTGCATCGCAGTCCTTACATTTAATTTCGTAAATTCCAGACTTTTCCGAATTCTCGACTTTGTCTTTTGGATTTCTTAAAAGGATCTGTAGTGTATGACTCGTTTTAAAAACCACCTTCATACACAGTTCTTTAAGAATCTTCCCAAAGTTCCCCGTGTCTTGGTGGCATGGAACTGAGATATATTTATCTTGGTTTACGTTGTTTTTAAAAGTCGAGATATTGGTTATTCTCAACCTAACCTTTTTTTCCTTATTATATCATCTACAATACCCCTCGAGAAACCGTTACTGGCTGCGATTTTCTGTATTGTAGGTTGTTTTTTTTTGGAAACCTGTCATGTGTAAGAGGAATGCACTAGATGCACTAGAAAACGCAGCCCAGCACATTATTTGTGCTGTCCACAGTGATGTGAACTATCAGAAATATACCTGTACTGTGTTTCTTTTTGAGCCCTCCTCATTGACTTCTCATTATCAAAACGTCAAGAAATGGAAATGCCCCTCATTTTCTAACTCACAGGTGAATTTTATCGAAGAAAATCTGTTATTAAGAAAGGAAGCAAAGTCCTCAATATTCGATTTTTCGTTATCAAATTTCGCAAAAACATCATCCACATACCTTAGCCATATCCTAGGAGAATTATTTGACTTTTCTTTGGTTTCTAAGTACTTATCAATACCTATCAATCAAGTACCTATCAATAATGACGAAGAAGAGTACGTTGTGTAATGAACATGAAATAAATTTCAAATTATATCGACCATATTGCAGTAATTCATTCAGGTAGTTCACCAGAGTCCAAGCTCTAATTATACCGCAGTTTATCTGCAGAAATATCTCATAACCTCTGTACAGAAGGAATATCCATTTTCCTCGACGTACGAATACCTCCCCTTCCCCCGCCCAGATAGGTCAATATGCTCTCGGTGCCACGACAATTAAATTTTCCGAGTCCCGCTCTCCGACTAAACCGTTTCCCTAATTCACTTTCCTGATACGAAGCTT